ACTACGCCGATCGTCGCGCCAACTATTGCGTCAATCGTTGCGCCATTATGTGTCAAGTCTGCTTGATCAGGATATCATTCGTCCCGGGGGGGCCTCGGCACTTAGTTCGCTTAACGTCGCGCTAATTATTGTTTTCCCTCAGTTCTCAAATGTTATGGATCAGGATATCGTTTTCTGCCCAAAGCTTGTGCTGCTAATGCGGTAGCCGTTGCGCCAGTCGATGCGCCAATCGTTGCGCCAGTATTTGTCGACTCTGCTGGATCAGGATATCATTCCTTCCGCGGTGGCCCGAGCTCTTGTTGCGTTTACCGTGGCGCTGATTGTTGGCTTTTCAGTTGTCTCGAGCAGGATATCGTTGGTTTGCCGAAAGCCTGTTGTTAATGCGAATTGTGGGCATTCATGGTTAAGTCTGCTGGATCATGATAGCAGACGTCCTCCATTGGAATTGGGCTTCGGTAGCGCTGATCGTGGCACTAATCGCTGCGCCTTTATTTGAACTCTGCGGGATAAGCCTACCAGTTGAGGTGCGGGGTCTGGGCATTCATTGCGCCGTTCGTTGAGCAAGTGTTGAACCGCAGTCTCCCTTCGGCAGGGTGGGGTCGTGGCTCGCCTTGACGATGGGCTTATCCAGTATCGCTTTCCTTTCAGCCTCTTCAGTGGCTCTCCCCCCTGTATCCAGAGTTTCGCCACTCAATGCCGATCTATTCACCTGGGAACTACGAGATCACCCGGATCGGCAAAGAGTGAACTTTATAATCAATGGTATTCGCCATGGATTCAAGGTGGGCTTTAATCAGATCCCGTCTCTTCTTTCCGCTCGGCGTAATAAGAAATCGGCCGTTGACCATCCCGCAGTCGTCGATCAGTACTTGGCCAACGAGGTTGCATTGGGCAGGGTGGCAGGCCCCTTTAAACAATGTCCCATGCGGGACTTGCATGTAAGCAGCTTCGGAGTTATCCCTAAGAGCGGTCAACCAGGCAAGTGGCGCTTAATTGTGGACCTGTCATCTCCGGGGGGTTCCAGTGTGAACTATGGTATAGACGTGAATGATTGATCGCTTCAGTATATTAGAGTCGATGATGTCATCAGAATGGTTAGTAATTACGGTCCAGGAGCCCTGATAGCCAAGTTCGATGTCCAGTCCGCCTATCGCAACGTTGCAATTCACCCTTCTGATCGTCATCTCCTTGGCATGAAATGGCGTGACAGATACTACGTCGATTTGGTGCTTCCCTTTGGCCTTCGGTCGGCACCATTTATCTTTGACTCCATAGCGTCTGTGGTAGAATGGATCATGCTAAATAATCATCGAGTGTCAGACTTGGTACACTATTTAGACGACTTCATCACGACTGGACCTCCTGGCACGGATCTGTGCGCCTCAAATCTCAAGAATGCAGTGGAATGCTGCGCGGCATTGGGCCTCCCACTTCACCCGGATAAGTGCCAGGGCCCCGCCACAACTCTTGTCGTTTTAGGGATCAAGCTAGACTCGGTCAATCGGGTTGCCCGCCTCCCAGTGGACAAACTCGCTAGCTTGCGTGCGCTTATCGATTCGTGGACCAAGCGTCGAGGGTGTCGAAGGCACGAGTTGGAGTCCTTAGTTGGCCATCTCCATCACGCTGCAAAAGATGTTTGGCCAGGGTGGGCATTTCTCCGCCGCATGATCAAATTACTGTGTTGCTTTAGAGACCGCGACCACCCAATCCGTCTCAATGCGGAGTTTCATCTGGACCTTGCTTGGTGGAACCAGATTCTGGAATCATGGAACGGCGTAAGCTTCTGGCTTTACCCGGGCATGACCCCCCTGGCATCAGTCGAGGTGACATCGGATGCTGCGGGTTCGTTGGGCTACGGTGCTTTCCTCGACAGGGAGTGGTTCAATGGCATATGGAGCGATCGTCAACGCCCGCAGTCGATAGCTTACAAAGAGCTCTTCCCAGTGGCGATTGCAGCTCATCTGTGGGGCCGTTATTGGTGTAGACAACACGTGGTGTTTCGTTCCGACAATGAGTCCGTTGTGGCCATCCGTCTGTTTAGCTTTCCGGTTGCAAATAAAGTATAATGTTTGTCACTGGTGGTCTATATGCTTTGGGGGTGCTTGAGATGGTATGGTGTCGTTGGTGTCCCTGGTAACCTGGCCACAGGGTCCCAGGGTCCTCTCCAAGCACCCTCGGATCGTTGGCGGTGGACTGTGGCCCGGTTGCCATGGTCACCTATGCGAAGGGGCTGGTTAGGCGTGACCACTCCTTCCTCGTACCTGGCACTCATGCCAAACTTATCATTACGATGAGTTTTAATTCAGCCTGAATGTAATTTAGGCAAAGTTAAAACCGAGTCTAATCGGTCAGCGGTGAACCACCGAACAGCATGGGAGGGACCCCCTGGTGGTTCAGGGGTATTGGTAGGGTTTGCAGTGTGGCAGCTTTGTCATTGTGTTGTTGTTTGAGCAAGCGGCAATAATATTTCTCCCCTCCCACCCACCTCTCTGTTCAAAGGACTAGCGTGTGATGGTAAGTATCTCCACCTCTTAAGGTGTGACGGGTGCCAGGTAGCGGTGGACTGTGGCCCGGTTGCCATGGTCACCTATGCGAAGGGGCTGGTTAGGCGCGACCACTCCTTCCTCGTACCTGGCACTCATGCCAAACTTATCATTAGGGTGAGTTTTAATATTAGATACAAAAAAACTTTATTATTTCCGTTCTTATGTGGACTGTACAAATCGATTTTAGATCAAGCTTATAGTATTTAATATTAGATTTAATTTGCATAAAATGCTTACATTTGATAATTTCTCTCGAAACAGAAGCTTGCAGTAGTACACTTACTTTACAACAAGAAAATGATGATTTAGAATGAATACAGGAAGATGTCGAAGCAGGTATCAATATAACTCTTATGTCATGATTATAAACGTTTAAAGATTTGTTCAAGTTTATTTAATTGTTGTCAGCTTTTCTTACTCTCTAGCCTATAATTTATAAATTCAGTGTATGCTTATTTCTTGTAATCGCTAAAATTGATCATTGATTACCAGTTGATACCCATAAAAAATAATCAATATCAATTAATCGATTGATGTCGAATAATCACTAAACAATAACTTTATTGTTGAGGAACCTTCACTGTGATCTTTCATTAATTGCAAATTGATTATCATTGATAAATAACCCATGATTGCCAGTGGGACATTGATCATCRTTGATTATAAATTTCCGATTGATCTTTGATCATCACCACAACATTGATTACGAATTGATCTTTGATTGATTCCATTGATTAGCATTAGACAATGAAGTGTTGTCCAATTGCCAAAATATTATATAAATCTTAATTAGATTGGGTCATACAAACTTAGATTGATCATCAATTGAACTAGTTCTCATCAAGTTCAGATGATGAATTGCATTTAAATAAGTAGGCCTTAGTATATGCCTATCTACTGTTTTAATTTTGATAGCTGCTGCTGCTTTACTCCCTTGTAAACTTTTAAAACTTTATGAAATGACTCCTCCAGATAACCAAAACATTTTAATGATCTAGCGTTGAATTTGACACTACAATCAAAATGATTATTTTAATTGATTCAGGAACTCTTTGGTTGGACAACAAAATAATAATCAAATTTTAGTATTTTAATTTTTATTAATTGAACAGATCATGACCACCACGAAAGTCTAGAAGAGACTATAAAACGATGTCAAGAGATTGTAGATTCTAGTAGTATGTGGGGACTATGGATAGACGACTCATTATATTCATAGATTCAAGAAATGCAATAACCATGGAAACGAGAGCAAAGGGGAAAGGAGGGGAGGGGAGGGGGTGCAAAGGCGCGCTAGCTCTAGCCCAATCCTGAATGAACGAAAAAAAAAGTGCGCGCGCAAACCAAAAGATGAGGTGACGTCACTACATGCTCGCGCAAGTAAAAACAAAAAAAAAATTTTGGAAAAAAACGTTTATTTTGGAAAATGATTACAAGAAGGAATTACGGTTTAAAGATGGTCATAAGTTATACATTTTCAAGAGCTTTTTTAACACCATATCCAGCACCGGCGGCTATAGCACCTCCAGCGGCAGCTTTGGCAGCAGCAATAGCAGCAGGAATGAGAAACAGGGGTAAGAATCCTCCTCTTTGACCACGTCTTCGTMGTCTCAGTTGCCGAGGAACAATGGATGGCATGAGAGAGGATGGCAAAATGCCTCCTTTCTGTTTTCGACGCCTTGTTCTTCGTCTCTTTCTTCTCATCGTCATGTTATCGCTTTGGTTTTGCCTCTATCATTAAACAAGCAAGTTGCAAATTTTATTTATAGATCCCACTCGGGTGCTTGCTTTAACTGTTTAAGCTCTTGAACAAAAAGAGTCCCCATTTCTACCACCTTTACATTTTCATATCCAAGAGTTTGATCGTAATGAGGTTCATTKTTTTTAAAGAGCATAATTTCTACAAGACGAGCATTATGATTGTGTTCTGGTGGAAAAGAGAGTAAGATGGTTCGACGTCCTCCGCCAATATTTCGTAGACAAAACGCAAAAGCGTTTTTGTTCAAGGGGTCAGGTATRCCAAGATCGTCCTGAAGGTGATAATGTTGGATGAGATTGTTTRACGTAGAATGAAATGCCCTGGCTCTTCTTCGACTTTGATAAMCCTGTTTGATGATTTCCATTTGACKGTGATAAGATTGATAGAGGTAGTAGGATGCAGCTCCCACGATGATCGGAACACAAATAAAAGTAGGAAGCGATAGCATACCTTTTTTGTATCCTAGAAGGATAAAGAGCAATAAATTCTAGAACCTTTTCAATTGAAACGGACCGTAGTGTCTGCTACCCATAAGAGGGACAATACATTTATGAGCGTGCTGCTGGTGTTCATAACATTTGTATTCGAAAAGGACACGGATAACGTCATGCCACGTTCAAAAATGGATAGGATGTTAAAGCCTTTTGGGAAACAACAGAACCATCCAATTGCAACACAGTACAATTTGAAGAGGGCGTGGCCTGGGATAGAGACAAAAATGAATATTGTCCGTGCATGTCTTGCAAGATGGCATTGATGAAAGCCGCTTACATCAATGCTCAGAATAGATCAAGTGACGTAACAGCTGCAAGTGCTTATAAAAACGYGGTAGGACTAGACTAGCAAGCACTCTTTTTCTCGTGCAAATTCACTATGGCTAAAGGCAAATCGGAATCAGGAAACCAAAATCAGCTATCCGTAGCTAAACGCCTCGAAAGTGAGATCATGATTGTGCAAGGTATGTATAAACGATACGTACGATTGATGGTGGACCACAATTATGACTTATTAAACAAAGAATATTCGATGTACGGTTGTACCAACGATCGAAATGCAAAAAAGCAAGTTGGAAACACATTGTTGGTGGTGATGAAAAACTATACGAGGCTGCTTCAGGACTATACTAGAGAATGCTTGAAATGTCAGCGCTACGACGGATGTAAACGGTCATGGAGGAGGTATCGTCACGACGACAAAGATCATGACGATTCTGATTCTGRCAATGGAGCGGCAGCAAGCACCATCGAAAGTGGAGATACGGTGTACTGATGGACGCCTGAATCCTATAAATAAGAAGGATGAAAGGAAAAAAAACATATTAGATTAATTTTATGAAAAATGATGCTTTTCAAGACGTTCTGGGTAACGTAYTTACTCTATTTAATTAAACTGTTAGAATCGATAAAAAAGAAACTGTTCATTGAGTTGGAAAAGACGTTTGAAAGAAACACCACCAGAAAAGTACACAGATAAGAGGATATATAGACGTTTTCAAACAACAAAACAAAAAAGAGCGGAATCATGGGCAGAAGACAACTTGGCGAGAATAACGTGTTAATGGCCATAAAGAACCAGGCGTCAAAATCATTAGTTCAACCACTGATTAACAAAATTGGAAAGACGATTGAACAAAAAGCATTAACAGCCACGAGCAAGATCAAAAACAAAACCGTAAGTGGATTGTTGAGAAATCAAATGAGAGCAGCAACACCTTATTTGAAGAATATGGTAGCCAAACAGATTGGTGGCCGTCGTCGAAGGAGAAGGAGGAGGAAGAGGCATTGAAGGGGCGTGGCTTCAAGGACAAAAGAATTTCATCATTGATAAAAATAGCACGGAATCATTGAAGATAAAAAGCCAGTGTTAGGGCCAGTTTAAACCAAATTCATACCAGTTGCCTTTAGCTCTTTGCCGTGAAAAGAAGTCTCTCAACCCTAGAAAGAAAAGGAAAAACGTTAATCTTGCTGTTTTTACCATGAGAGTATTTGATTACAAGATTTTGCGCCACATCTGTAACATCCAAGAACAAAAGTTTAGACCTCTTTTGCAAGATGAACTGCTACTGGAGTTGTACAACAAGTATTCAGAAGCCATGCAAGWAGCTTTACACTCTCTAGAAGGTCATGTAGCTTTACCGCACAAATGGTTTTCCAGCGAATCCTTGAGCCAGAAAGTCGAAGCTTTAGAAGATGCGTATGATGCAACCACCAAAACTGTACGAACAATTGGAAAGAACGGCRAAAAATACCCCGACTTGGTCCCAGTCCCCCCACCTGAAGAAACGAAAAGAGGTAAAAAGCCAGGACAAAAGAGAAAGAAGATAGAACCCAAGAATGCTACCAAAAAAAGGACAAGTAAAGAATCCAAGCGCCCTAAACTCACTGAATCTTTACCTTCTCCTCCTCCACCTCCATCTGCACCGGCCCCATCACCTTCAGCCTTACCTTTGGAGTGTGTGCAACCACCTGTACCTGTAATCAAAGTGGAAGCCATAGAACCACCACAGCAGCAGCAACAGCAACCACAGCCATTATCCACACCCATCAAAGATAAGGATGAAGAGGACAAGAAAAAAGAAAATGAAGAAGAAACTGCTATGGTTCTTGACATTGAACGTCAGTTGCAAGAATTTTATGATCAAATGTGTGCGGGAATGAAAACGTTGACCATTCATGATGATAATTAGATAGAAAAAAGAGAGAAAAAAAGTTAGCAAATTGAATGTTATAAATTAAAACCACTTGTACTCATTTTTGATTGTTATAATTGTTTTTATTGATTTAATCAAATAAATTTTGAATTACAGGAAGAGGAATGGATACATTTGTTTTTTTCTTGCGCCGTCTCTTTTTCTGGGGATTTAAACTTCCGCCCATGCCTCGCTTGACACCTAGGATTTTTCCGGCTTCCTTTTCGGCTTGATGTTTTAGTTCTACCGCAGCACTGGTAGTTTGGTCCCGCAACGATTCCTTCAAGTCTTTTCCTTCCAACGCGTCTTGTATAACTCCTTTAGCTATGTTTGCGGTGCTATGTACAGCCACGTCTTTGACCTTGTCCATGACTGGATGAATGGTATTCATTACTGTCTGAAAACGACGCCCTATCCCTAATCCCCCTCCACGCTGTACTCCTCCCCTTGGCCTTAAAGGAATGTACACAGGAATAGAGCCTCCTTCTTGAGGGGATGGACTGTAAACAGGTATATCGCCTCCACCTTCCTGGGGATTATACACAGGAATGTTCATAGTTTGGCTTAGGTTTTTTTTTTTTCGTTTGCAATTAAGCTTTTTTCTTTTGYAAGCGTAGAGTAATGGTGGTGGTGGCTCCGTCCAGTTCTTCTTCTAGGGGTAACAGATCCCCTCGTTCGTCCTCCAAGGTGATCTCAATGGTTTGAAAAGCTCCAACACCCAAAGGACTGTATTTAACGTGTTTCGGCTCATGAGCAAACCCTTTTAAGCGTGTTGAGCCCTTYCCACTGGCTGGTGGTTGAAAGTTCATCTGAAGCGGAACCATGTCTAGTAAAGGTTTGTTTATGTTCCCCACGACGATGGGATCCACCAAGTTACAATGGACATAGACTCGTGTGATTTCAGAGGGTCGAATAAGGCAATGAATSGGTTGGAGGCTTTGAATACGACGTTGTACCACATGATGATGAGACCAATCGTGAAAACCCTGGGGATAGTTCATTCCATTATTTGAATCTTTTGAGTCTACTTCAAAGACATGCCCCACGAACCCTTTATGAGAAGGACTCTTTGGCAAAAAGTCTAGTTTGAAGAGTTGAACCAAGTCGTTGGAGATGTAAAGAGTCAYATGGGAGACGTTGGCCTGGTGGGCATAAAATCCAATATGCACTTCCACTTTTGACGTTACAGAATTCCACTGAAAACGTTGACGGAAAAAATTGGGAACGTCAGGTTCAAGCTCAGCATCCAAGATGAGGGGATGAGAGACTGTGAGACTGAGAAGCTGTTTCAGGGTAAACCCCAACTTTTCTATAAATCCAGATTTATAAAAATAAAGATCGTGGTTGGCTCGAGTAAGTCTCAACTTTTTTGGGTTGTGGGGTTGCCACGACAAGAGGATTCCTTGTCGAGATAACACACGTTCAATATCTTCAGGCATGTAACTGCTGACGTCATCAAAGACATAGAGGTTGGTCATTCGGTTGGTTTGAAACGTTCTTTGAGAACTGGACCAASCATGAAATGTTGAATAGTATGTCCCATGAACTTGTGTAGCCATTTGTTTGCTTAGAGCGGTGCAAATGTCTTGCACATTATTCCACTCTACAGTAGGGTCCAAGATCCCGTTGGTCTCCCATATTCCGTTTCCGGTGCTGATCGCTTTAATCGAGAGGTCTTTAAAGACGACAGTAGTTGCTCGGGGCTTTAGGCTTGGAAATGCAATGTTAATCATACCCAATTCSCATTCTTCTTTTTCCATACGGACCATAGAAGGAAGTCGAGCCGTAAACTTGGAAG